TCAAACATGACCGATATTATTTTCAGTCCTTTACTGGGACGTGCCGGATGCGCTTCATTGGTCTTGCATGTAAAAATCCAAATTATCGTTTTTTTAGAGCGCAGCTCTTCAGGTTCTGCTGTGTTCTAAAATCGAGCGTAGGAAACGCGGCGTAGCGCAGCGGATACCGATACTAATTGGTTACAAATGGGGACTTTTCACTCACTGACCAATGAAAGGCCCATGTTCTGCGCTACGCTACGTTCGCTGCGCTCTACGTCGGAGCATAACGTAGCCTTTAGGCGCACGTTCTCAGGTATAGCGGCGTCGGCGGCGGTGCCGGCGTTGGCGTCGGTGTAACAACGCGCGTTGCATTATGGGACGTCACGGGCATATATAATAATAGTAATATTTATTTTGTTGTGTCTACACACAGCAGATAGCCTAAATAGTGGTACGTAGTTCGTCATTTGAAATGAAATGCAGACATCCACATAGATCCAAAATTATATACTAATTATCGACAGCGTACGTCGAAAAGTTGTCACGTCACTAAAAATGTCTATAGCAGATGAGTCAAGCCTGTTAAATACCAGTTGTATTCTTGTTAAGGGAGGCGCATCATATAAAGTCAGGGGGTAGAACGGGATCTGAAACCGACTATAGTCGGTTACAAGTCAAGAAGGTAGGAGAAGCTCCTCCCACAAGCGTGATGCGCCCGTTTCAAATCCCTCCGCAGTCGAAAGAAGAGTTCACTGGAAACGCTCCTGGCTCCGCATCAATGGATAGATAAGGGCCACAGAGTGTTGCCAACTTGTCTTTAACCCCCACTTTTTAAGAAAGCGACCTTCGTATCCATTGGAGGCGGAAGCTAATCCCCGAAAGTCGTATTCGTTTTCACCGGAGGGGGAAAACTCTAATCTCCCTCTCGTGGCTTCCACAATGCTAAATCAAAAGCGAAAGTTAAAGCAAAAATGTACAGAAAGGCAAGACCTTCCTCGCGCGTTGGCCGCAACGTCACGGAAACGATGGGACGCTATTGGATACGGAGGTGGCGGAGGGATATATGATTTCCTTTGAGGGGCATTTGCCGCTACCTTCTTAACCTCTAACTTACTATAGAACTCAATGGAATATAAAAACCAAAAATACTTAACAAAAGTGATGAATCCATGCTTCCGTCGACAACCTTATGCAAAAACATAAAATCATATAAACGCGTTCTATCCAGCAAAGTGCGCAACCCTAGTTTTTTAACTAGTTCATTATAATTGTAGCAACACTTGCGCCCAAAATGGCTGTCATAGATTATGCCTATGAATTGTCTTTGAGCACGCTCAATAGAGCGTGACGGAGTGTGGTTGATACAATTCCAAACAATTGAAGAACTCCAGCTTTGTACGCACAAAGCAGCAAAATAAACGCACAAGACAATCAGGCGAAGAAAATTGCCTCGTAAAACGAGATATCGCCCCAAGATTAATAAGAGAGGGATTACATATAGCTGAAACATGATTGTTATAATTTAAAGATGAATCAACGAACATTCCAAGATCATGAATGACGGACACTCGGGAAATGACACTGCTTTCTATTGTGTAAGGGAACACAAGTAAATCTCGCTTTCTAGTAAGGGACATCATTTTGTCTTTTGCTCATTCAGCAAACAGCACCTTGAAATTTCAAACGCGTCATCTTGAAGAAGTTTGCACTTCGAGTACGAACGAACACAGCGAAACAGTTTGATGTCGTCGGCAAATAGTAATACTTCAGAGTTTTCACGCTATCAGATATGTTTACAAAACTAAAAAATAAAAGTGGTCCAAGGTTGCTTCCTTGTGGCACTCCGGAAGGCGGCAAAAATTTATGAGATATGAGTCCTGACACACGAACATAACTTTCACGACATGAGAGATAACTTTTAAACCAATAGCAGTACGTTGGACACAAACCACAACTATCTACAGTGTGAAACAAGGAGACGCCAGGCTCTTTAAATCGATCGGAAAATTTGGTTTCTTAACCTATCGCGCTACGACTTAGTGCAACGTTGCCCACAGATAGTGCTTTTTTTTTGTAAATTTCCGAAGAGCGAACTTACCTGAGGAAAAAGTAAAGAAAGAAAAAGGCTTAGCTCCTATGGAAACGCAGCGACGCCACCGGTTTGCAAACAACACGGCGCCGTTTCGCACGGTAGACAAGAGATGGTGCAACAAACGCCGCCATCGAACGAGCATACGGCGCCGAGAGCAGGCCTTTTTAGCAGACGACCTTTTCGACTCAAAAGCGGCGCGCGTTCCGCAGGCGGAGACAGTCGCAGAAAGAAAAAAAGACAGGCGCGTTAGCAGCAAGAAGCTGCACTTCCTTGTCTGCAAAAGGGCCGGCTCTCGGCGTCGTCCGCTCGTTCGTTGGCGGCAGATGGCGTCGCGACCATTTGCGCCATCTCTTGTCTCCCGTGCGAAACGGCGCCGTGTTGTTTGCAGACCGGTGGCGTCGCTGCGTTTCCGAAGGAGCTAAGCCTTTTTCTTTCTTTACTCTTTCCTCGGGTAAACTCGCTCTTCGCAAATTTTACAAAAAAAAAAAAACAAATGCACCATCCGTGGGCAACGCTGCACAAAGTCGTAGCGCGATAGGTTAAGAAACCGAATTTTCCGGTTGATTTAAAGAGCCTGGCGTCTCCCTGTTTCACCCTGTAGTTTGGTAAGGAAAGTATTGTGATCAACCTTATCGAATGCCTTCGTCATATCAAGATATATTGCATCAACTTGTGCATGGCCACGAACAAATAGAACAGTGTGTTCTAAAAAAGAGCACATATTAGATTGAACCGACTTGCCCTTCAAGAATCCGTGTTGCTCGGGATTTATGTTTAGGCTAAAGTAACTCTACAGGCGTTTCTGTATTACCGTCTCAAAAACTTTGAAAAAACTAAACAATAATAAAACGGGACGGTAGCTGTTTAGAATACTAAGATCGCCTCATTTATGAATCGGAAACACTACGGCCCATTTTCCAGATAGAGGGAAAGAAATATTCCCTGAACGAAGTGATAAATAAATAATGTGTAATAAGACAAGAGACAGAACCTCCGCGCACCCTTTCACGATAAAACTGGAAATGCTGCTGTGCGACAACACAGCACAGGCTTCATTTTAAGAATGCCTTTCTCAATTTCAAGGTCGTCAATAGGGTAAAACAAAAAAAAAATCTAATGTGCCTTGGCACGCCGTGCTGCCGTTAGTGACTGCCGCAGACGAAAAACAGAATTTAAAATGCACTGCAAACTTGTCAATTTTACTTGAATCACATGTGAGACCAGAACCATCTCTTATTGGCACAACATTATGATTTCACTTCTTTTATCATGGTACATACTTCCAAAAGTGTTTCGGCTTCGTGTGCATATCGGTCTCAAGTACAGTCATATACATACTTTTGTCTTGTTTAAAAAGTTGTTTTGCCAAAGCACGACACTCACTAAACTTGGCGTACCACTTATGCAGTTCAGACGTTTTAAAAATGCGATGATAATAAAGCTTACGTCGTAAGCAACGCCTGAGCTTCCTTGAAAACCGTGACGGGCACTTGCTTGCCCGAGAAAAACGCTTAGGCACGTATTTACCTATGGCTCTTGAAACTACTGTTGTAAGAGCCTCAGCAGCCGAATCCACAATATTATCATTCAAGATCGGTTGCCAGTCATAGCACTGCAAGTGCTCGTAGATATTGAGGTAATCTGCCTTACTATATAGAAACTATTCCTGCCTGCGAGAGTCTCGCCGACGCAGCGGAACGAGAAAGGACACAACAGAATTTGGATGGAAATGGTCGACACGTGCGAAGGGGTCCACATTTGGCACGATAGAAACAATTGGCGAGGAAACTAAACCAAGGTCAAGTATATCTCCCGCTGAATTCTGGAGAGTATTGTTTTGTAAAAATCCATTAAAATAAATGAAATCTCACAGGCTCGCTACTTGCAGGCTGGTGACCTCGCTCGCCAACGAGTCATAACCTGCCAGCCAGTCAATTTTTTGTAGATTAAAATCCCCATGTATCTAAACACAAAACTTCGTCCTATCAAGCTGTTGTTCTAGATTTTGAAAAAGACGCGCAAAAACATCTGAGTCAGAGTGTGGTGGAAATTGATAGTTCCCTATTAGATAATTAAGCCCGTCACTGGACGTAACTTCGACCCGTACACATTCTGAGTAAGCCTCTAGGTAAATCCGAGTAAGTCTCCAGGACAGCTCCACCATATATCTGTCCCGTAATGGAATAATCATGGTCTTTTCTAAATACTGTATATGACGGAGAAAAATATTGAGAGCTAGCGATATTGTGCTCTAGCCAAGTTTCAGCAAGGAAAACAATATTGTATGAATTGCCCGTTATTTCCAAACTAAACTCAGAGGACTTTGTTCTAAGGCCGCGAAGGTTCTGGTAGTGAGGCGTCCATTCCATAGTAGTAGCGTTGCATTATGGGGCCCTCACCATACCCTCCTCGTAATTTCTGGTCTACCTTTAAAAAAACTAAAGCAAAAAAATTAAAATTATATATATATATATATTCCTTTCTTAAATCCTCTTCCACCATATCTCTGAATCGAAGTACTCCAAGAGCTGCGCTCTAAATTCGCATTGAAGAGAAGCGTAAATGACTGACTGTAATTTTTATTGACATTTTTCTGGTTCTAGTATCAAAATGCAACAATAAAATAAACTGAAGTAAGGTAACGTTTTCAAATGCAAGTCTTCATTCCATATTCTTGTGCGAATAATTACAAATATTTTAAAAAGCTGGTTTCTAATATTGCAGAAAAAAACCGTTTCATATTTACCTCCCTAGCCACTCCGGTCTCCCAGATGCAGATAGTGATGACAGCCCAGCATTCCTTCCACGATGGGTTGACGAGATTGACGACAGCGCGGCGTTTCTGGAATGCAGAGGGCCAGTATATAAAACGACCCCGGCTAACGGTGCAGTATCACTTCTACTTCACAGCGGAGGAGTACTCTTCACCATGTTCTCCAAGGTACTGTAGTGCCAACTAAGCTTGAAATGAACATAGCCTGGTTGGATTGACATAAAACAAGGAATATGTTGGAGAGTTTCCGAATAACGCGTGTTTTACTCGGGAACAAGTTCGTCAAGGTCTTAAATTAACTATTACTATCTTAACCATATGTGTCCGCTTAAATTGTGACACGCAAACATTTAATTTTTCTCAATGTTCGGTATTGATAAGTTCTGTATGAGCACAATTTACGTTCATGTTCATCGATCACGTAATGCCTACTACTTTTCAGGTCATTGTGTGCTGTCTTTTCGCCTACGTGGCTTGCGGAGTAGTCGTCGAGAATGTAAGTTGGACATCTTACTACCTTACAGGCTACTATAAATATGGCGATAATTGAAACGTGTGAAGCCATCGAATTAATTCGTTTTCTTTGGTAAATATTTCGTTATCCAATACTAAGATGTGGGTAGCGGCACCGGTGGCCATGAAAAACTTCTAAATTACATTTCTTATTTTTCTGTAACCCAGTGCCAACTTACTCACTTTTACATTTCTTGATAAAAATGTATTAGTATTAAAATTTTTAAGTAAAATATTGAGATTCAAACGAAGAGTTTATTTGTTGATGATATATCAATCTAACCAGACTCTTTCTACACCAGGAAACAAGGGGTTAACTTCCAAACGTTTTCTTCTGAATACAATTTTTGAAAACTGCATTCATCAACTTTGAAAAGAAATTTCATAAGGATTTACGATTTATTTGTAAAACCAAAAGGGTATAACGTTAAAGAGGAAACACGAGCCCGAGACATTCTGACCACTCCTGACGTATCAACGAAAAGTAACCTGTACACTGGAGAGAAGCTTTGACATATAATTAAATGCATGAGTCGGTGTGGTCATACTGTTCGTGACTTAAACTCGAAGTCAGGGTTCTTCAAGTCGGGCTATCTGGAGCCAGCTACATCGCTCGACATAGTTCAAATTACAGTGAAACATACAAGATACAGCGCCAGTACCATAACCCTATCTTGTTTTTTTTTTTTTGTGACAGTTGTAAGAATAACACATACAATGAAGTTTCTGCCGCACATAAGACACTTTTATTATGTTATTGAACATACAAAACCTAACTATAGAAATATTTGCTTCTTCCAAGGTGCATGTGCCCCAGCCGTACAGCTTTGGCTACGACAACGTTGACGAATTCGGAACTCGCATGACCCGCCAGGAGACTGGTGATGAGTTCAACAACAAGGTCGGCTCATACGGCTACGTGGACGCTCACGGCATCGCCCGTACCGTGAACTACGTCGCCGACGCGCTCGGTTTCCGGGCTACTGTTGAGACCAACGAGCCAGGGACCAAGACTTCCGTCCCAGCCGACGCACCGACTTACTCCTCGTCCGTCGAGGTTGCAGCTCCAGTTGTGGTGAAGGCTGTTCACCCAGCTCCAGTTGTCGTCAAGGCGGTTCATCCAGCTCCAGTTGTTGTCAAGGCTGTTCACCCAGCTCCAGTGGTCGTCAATGCAGTTCATCCAGCTCCAGTTGTTGTCAAGGGTGTTCACCCAACCCCAGTTGTTGTCAAGGCTGTCCACGCCGCCCCAGCCGTCTACACCCACAAAGTCGCCCCTCTGGCCTACAGCACCGTGGCTCGGGCTCCTGTTGGCTACGCTCTTGGCCGCACCACCATCGTTTAAGTACCGGAAATTGAAATCTGAAATGTCAACGGGTGTAAAAATAAAATTTATCGCTTTCTATAAAATACTTTATCGTGAACAACTCTCTGAACAATATAGACGCTTACTGCGACACTAGCAAAGCTTGTGGCATAGAGTCTTTACAATCAGACGTACTCCAGCTAGTGTCTCCTCACTCCAGTTTGACATTGGTCAACATTTTCCATCGCGCGTGATGTTGGAAGTACAATGATATCAAAAGACAGAAAAAGAAACATGCTTCAAGCCATGAATATCTTCCATTGTGAAGGAACTACATGGCGCGTGGGATCGGACAGGCTCATTTCACATAACTGAAAGTTATGTGAAATGGGCGTTTCAGCTAAAAGTGACAATAATATTTCTTAGATGGATCTTGAGATAGAGATACTATTCCTTCAGGATTACGTTGTCCAAGGAGGCGATCGTACAGACGCAATGGTAACGTTCTCGTTAGCTACTTGAGTAAAGAACAACGGATTAAATTTTGTCTTTTTCGTTTAAGTTAACATGTTTAAAATAAACATTTATCACCCGTCGTTTACTGAAATTAAAACAATTGCGAGACTAAAAAAAATCCACTTCGACTTATTGCGGTTAGGGCCGAGGGTATGCCACTGAGCCGGCAAGATCAAATAACTTAAAACAGAAGATTGGCAGTGTTGGCGCAAGGGTTCCGTGAGAAATGCTCCACCGAGCAGTTTCTGATTTTAAAATTGGATTATTATTATGCATCGCATTAGAAGGTAAGCATATTGAACGCAATCTTTAAAGCGATCGTTGCATTCAGTAAAATAAATGCCTGAATAAACAAATGCAAGCAGGAAAAGAGCCGTGTTCGTAACAAGTATCCTGGCATCGAAGGAGTATCATTAAATAGGGAACAGATGACACTACACTTTCATCGTGTAATGCGCCTCGAAATCCCACATGAGCGACTAGACGCGGCGAGGGAGGAACTATATTAAATGGCAAGGGATGGGAAGAGACACTGCCTTCGCTATTATTGAGACGACCCTTTGAAGAGGGCGGCTCTGGAAAAGTTAGTGGTGTCTCAGGTCGTAGACATGAGCGCGATATTCTTGCGCGTCGGAATCTTAAACCGGGCGCCAACCGATGAATCTGCCGGGTTTTTGGGGTAAGTGAACAAAATTAACTTCGCACAGCATATTATTTGTCACGTGGTGGATGCGACAAACCTCATAAACTCAAAATAAGATATCAAGAAACATAACAGGGATCACCGCCCATAGCGTACGTTGGGCACCTCCCCCATATACGAAGAGGTGAGCAATCTGGTGAAGACCTAATGGACACACCATTTGCTCCTTGTCGTCATTATGGCGGGTTGGTTTCGCATGGTAAGCGTGAATGGTTTGTGCGGGTAGGCTAGAAGCCACGAGATGCTAATAATTCTGTGGAGCTATTTCAGCTTTGAGGCCCTCCTTATAAAAAGGAATCATCAGAAAAAATCTGATGGTCCACCAGACCGATGGTCAGTCATATGTTTGGACAGTCTCGTGATCTTATGGCCTCTTGGTTTGATGATATGATGGTTTGATGGTGTGAATTGTTTGATGGTCTGTCCTTTTTTGGGGACATTGATTTTTTATAATTTGATGGTGTGATAGTCTGATGATCTGTTGCATTTTGAGACATCTGATGTCCTGATGGCTTGTTTGTTGGGCTAAGGGTCGGTTGGAATTTATAATCACATATGCAACCGTAAGAAGAGGAATTGCATTACAGACAAATCCGAACTTAGGTTTTTGCTCATTAGTATTTAATAAAGGAACATTCGAAGCGCTAAGATACCTCCGAAATTCCCACGGAAACCTGAACGCTAAGTTTGTATCTTAGTTATGGCATCTTATTACTTAAAGTTCAAACTATGGAACGTTGAAATATTCAAGCACAAACGAAAACAGAAGATAAAATGTGCTTAATCCACTTGCTACTTTCTAAGACTCCACAACGTGCAACATTATCGGTGTCCGTTGCGTAGAAATCTACACTCTGTCCCATCGTCCATGCTGGGCATGAGGGCGTCGAGGAATACACTAAAGCAGGCGACGATGAGCGGTTAAACTGCACGCCGCGTGGCACTCCGCATGCACACCACATTGCAACAGGTGGCAATATTTGTGGATTCAGGACACATAAACGTAAAAGCCCACAATGCTCTGGAGAGGTGTAGTGAAAAGAGCGGCGGCTGCGCTGTGAGAGCCTAGGTGGGTTAATATATATATATATATATATATATATATATATATAGGGAATGGTGGCGAGAGGCCGAAGGCGTGGGTATTTAACTGAGAAGAAAAAACCCTCGGTGAAAACAGCAACAACGGAAAATTTATTCTTTGACGTTTCGGCGGGACTCCGGCCGAAACGCCGAAGAATAAATCGTCCGTTGTTGCTGTTTTCATCATGGGCTTTTCTTCTCAGTTATATGTATATATATATATATATATATATATGCATATATATGCTTTTTTAATGAGCCACGCGCAGACTTTCGTCGCGAAGCGAAGTTTATGGGAGGCCCCCGTGGGTCAACACACAACCCGGTTATACACCATCTGTCCGTCATTGCGCCTCCAAAAAGTGCGACCCGTACAAAGGCTGTCCAGGAGACACACATAGCTGCTGAACCACCATTTGCACCGAACGTAGAGCAACTAGCAGTGCTTCGCTTTACAGCGCATTATTTATGCCAAAAACATAAATTGTAATATTCAGATTAAGAATAAAACAAATAAATCTGTCGAATACGTTATTGCGCTACCATTATATACTACTATTAAAATAATAATGTTGAAGAAAATATTTCCGCAAAAGGAATGTTCACGACACAAGCAATGCGGTGTTTGTTTGTTTCTCTCTTTTCTTCCAAATCAAACTACCAAGACGTCCAGAAAAAAAAAATATCGAGATCTTTTTAATAGATGAGTGCGTAAATTGTTTAGATATTGATCAAAATATTCAAATGCAACGCGTCCAGCCTCGCTGAAGCAACAGAAGGTGCACGGCGTGCATGTTATGAACCCCTGAACTCACTACGAAGTTATAGTATAGAGACAGAGGCGCATATTGAACAGACAAGGCTAGCGGAAACCGCAATCAGTTTTCATTAGACACTTGGGCGCTGTTGTGTAAAAGTACACGGAGTTGTTTTATTGATTTTCAAGGAAGTAACATCGAAAGAAGTAATTGTCAAGTGTTATGACCGTGACATTAGAATGAGCACAATAGAAAAGCCTTTGCCGCGCATCATTAAGACATCATGCATGGTAGAAAATACCCATCAACGGTTACCCAGTCTCGTCATTCTGTCTACACCCCTCATGTTAACACTTTCATCGGCTTTGGCTGTAATATTCCGGTAAGCAGATTCCGCACCTCGAACGCGGCCCACCAAACCAATCTCGTTCGGCTTCATACCGCCGTCCCTTGGCACCGTCGTTGTTGTTCGTGGAGACCCGTCTGTTGCTAGCTGCTATGGTGATTTCACAACACCTTTCGTGTCACCCATAAAACTTCGCATAACTTTCGCAGATAATAGAGCGTTCTCACGAGAGCGTTCGAGCCGCACGCAGAACCCAACCGAAACCGAAGCGATCAAACAAACTGTCGCCATATTGTTTTTACGTCTCTCGCCGTGGCAAACATGTGGCCCGACCAAATTCAAGCGGCCCCGCGTATCGAGGCTCGTACGTCACAGTGATGTAGGGAAGCGAGAGCCGGTTGCTATGGGAACTGGCGCGCGCTGCTGTGCGGCGCCCGTTGTCATCGCTCATATGTCCCGGACCTGCTTAAACCTCGTCGGCCCGAGGATGTGGGCAACTAAGTTTACCGCATTTGTGGATTTGTAAACGTTTTCTTCTCGCAAACACCTAGTTCACACAGCACCTCCTGCTCATGTATGAGTTTCCCATCAAGCAAACTGCGTTTTTCGTTACATTCCGTACCTTTAAATCGTAACCATGATCTAGTACTTGACATGCAAAGCAGATGAACAAATTGTTTCACCAAGAGACTATGACACAATTTAAAACAAAACTATGCTTCCAAAGACAAACCTACGTTTATACGAAGGTGTCTTCGTGACCTTTAGTGTATCGTAGGACAATTGTTGAGGCGAACTAATACGGATTGAAAACTTGGTTATCAAGCCACGCCGCTGTGAGCGTTCCACTCCGAATGTTATTCACGCATGCATAACGACTAGGGATCCTTGGCGCCTATTTTCGACCCCTGCTGAAACCTTCCCAATATATTCAGATGCTTCCCACCAGAGAAAGATATTAGAGAAGCATCATTAACCCTTTTGACATTCTGGTGATCGATCAAAATTTACTGATGGTTTCACTCGGGCAATATCAAAACTTTTCGATGGTCCGTCAGTCACCACAAGAGACGTTTTGAAACTCTGCGAGCTATAAAGAGAAGTCTTTAATAGTCCAGCAGCCACCACCAGAAAATGTTTTATAGTGTGATGGGCCGTCAAGACGGTGTGATGAGCCATCAAGGAGGTATGATGGGCCATTAAGAAAGTTTGCTTGACCATCATAAATTTCACATTTGTAATGGTCTTTTCGATAGGGTTGGATCCCGAGACCAGAAGATCCCGGAGTTCATTTTTGAGAGATTCAATTTCGTCATGCGAAACCAACCCGGCATGTTAATGACCAGGAGTAGAAGTTGTGTAGACATGGTCTTCAAAGATTCCTGGATCCCCTGGACGTACTGAGTTACGTAAATTACTTCAGTTACCACAAGGGCCTATTGCCATTCATAGAGCACGAAAAACTGAACATGAGACGCACACCTTCATCATAAGCAGAACCCATAGTAACTTTTCATAAACACATGCTTCGCAGACTCCATTCCGTAAAAAATATTTAACTTGTCTTTTTTTCTCTGATAAAACCGGAGAGGACATGAGTGTGTTATGTGTTTAACACATCGAAACAACCAAAAACCCCATGGCACAAAGCATTAAAAACCTTAACTCAAGCGTTCTACGCTCCCAGGTTTATCAGAATGGTCAAGGAAATAATAATTGTAATTACTGTCTTTTGCTTCAGCGTGATTCCACTAAAGGTTGCGCACCTAAACCACGAAAATCGCTTTTGAGGCGCATCTGTACTCCGGAAGGAAATCGAAACTTAATGATGTTGAAGAGTATGTGCGATTTACACTTTCAAATAAAATGCAAGACATAACTCTCTTTATTTTTCTGTTGGGAAAGGGAAAGCATAAAAAGAGAAACTATGTTTTTGCTTGGCGTCATAGTTTGTTTCTTCCAACAGCAAACCCTGATAAACACGAAGATTGTAAAAAAAAATACAATTAGAATTTGTATGCCGGCCGCGGGGACGCGCGAAAGTTTTAATGATTTCTTTAAATGAGGAATTCAAAATTCTAAATATACATCGGACAATCTTAGACATATGCCTAAATGTATTAGTCGCAAGAAAACTTTCTGTTACGTTCACAAAAAAAAAATATTTAAAACACGGGGAAGTGTACCTATAAACACCTGGTTTTTACAGTTGGCTCCTGAGGAGAGCACAAAGGTATTGTACAACAATCACGTGCTGGATTTTGTAGCTCCTGGGACAACGAAAAAATTTGTCTTGCTGGCATGTGAGTCCATTTTGAACAATATATTCTTCATGTTGAACAGCAATAACAAAAACTACAACGTTTCAGTAGCGATCTTCGTTCACTCAAGTCTGGCACAAGCAAAAGCATAAATATAAAAAACAAACAAAAAAAACCTTTGATCTTGAATATCAATTTACTATTAGAAGGGTTGTCTCAAGTGACTAGTTAATAACTACGAATAAAGCCGAATAATATCGGGCGTACCCACGTTATAAACGACTGCGATTACCATTGGAAAGTAACTTCAAATTATCCAAATAATAACTCTAAGTTATGAAAGTATATAGAAACACTTGAAAATGCATTTATGGGAGCATGGAATTAAAACGTATTGTAGGGCCTTTCCAAGTTAAAATAATCCGCACACATTTTTCAAAATTGATGCGCATATCCAAAGTTTTACACAATTTACACGACCAGTCTTGAGAATGGCTAGGACCTTATAGTGAGTATTCAAATTCAACTGCCAATACGTTCACCTCTATGAAACGTTCACCTTACAACAAAAGTTTGCGGTTGATTATTTAAATCGATTTAGAAATTAATGAATATCAGCTGTTCTTCATAGACAACCTCGTAGTGTTTGTGAAATTAAAAAAAAAAAACAAGATACTATATAGCGAGAAAAACCAGGTGTGAAAATTTAAATCGTCTTCATGCCAAGACCAAGTCGTTTTCAAAATTAGCATACTTGCCAGTTTTAACGGTACTTTCAAAAGGCGAACGGGTTCAACGGTTTCGAGCAATCAATAATTATGAATTTTACATGTCCTAGTCCGTCGACTGCGGAAGCATTATCACGTGCTGTTTTAATCAGTAACAGAGCAGTGGAGATTTCATTTAAGGAACCTTAGTCTCATTAAAAGGAGTTATACAATATCGGATTCAACACATAATGCATTATTTTATTTTTTGCATACTTTTGCTGTACGTGTGACCATGAACGTATAAAACATCTAGAATGTGTTGCAGCTAAATTTCCTCGATGGATGTTTTTTTCGCCTACCCTTCCGCTTTTTTTGCTGGTAGCAGTAAAAAACGCCCTCTCTTCCCGCGTTGATCGTTTGATGAGATCGTGGACAGCTCGGGGCTGCAGGAATTCACGAGCCCTATAAAAGGCGTCGAAGGAGCAACACAGTACCACTTTTACTTGAAAGCAAGAAGAGCAACCTTCGTCATGTTTTCTAAGGTATAGCATTTAAACTGAAGCACGGAAGTAACAGAAGCTGTTTTAAATCTAAAAGAGAATTACACTTCTGTGGTGTTTTAGAATGTCAGTCGAGGTTCTTGCAGGATACACCACGAATAGAGGCGTCTCTCAACGAGCCCTGTGACTTAAAATCCTAATAAGCAAATTTCTGGTAGTTATGAGTCGGCTGTTATTTGGACGATCTTAACAAAAATTATCAAAATTTTTGCGGGGTTAGATCTGGTTGTTGTTTATAACTTTTGTTTTCTCTAGAGCTATCAGCTTTCTTTTCAGGTCCTTGTGTGCTGCCTTTTCGCCTACGTGGCTTGCGGAGTTGTTGTCGAGAATGTAAGTGAAATATCATTTTCCTTTCTGCGAGCTATTTCTATTAATAGTGCTCTAGTCACTCTCGTAATAAAACTCAGTACAAACGTGAAGTCTACATTTGAACGTACACAAATATAATATTGCAATCAAACCCAGTTCTCTAAATCAGATCGAAAAATTTATTTATTTTATTGCGGTGAATATTTGAATGTTTTTCTCTCTCGAAATTTTAACATCCACTTTAACGTTTTTGGTTCGAGTGACAAACGGTACACTCGAGTGTCTCATTCAATATGCGACAACCTAATAGCGATATGATAGTATGATCTGACCGAAAGTACTCTATAGGCAGCATGCACTTTTTTGTTTATGATGTTGATCTGATATATTCACACATAAACAATTCTGTCATAACACGATCCCGTTGACCTTCGTTCGTTCTGGTAGTACGGTTATGTTCAAAGGAGGGTGCTATATAAAAGTGCATCAAGTTAACTTACGTAATATCTACTTGTGCACGACAGCATATTCGAAGCACGTGAGCCTATTGCCGTGAAGGGCAGGGAAGAAAAAGAATATCAAATGATTTTAGAATAGGAGAGATAAAATTAGTATTTTGAAGACATTAATTCGCAACATCAGTTACACTCTACAGTGATTTGGATTAAACTAACCACAAAAATAATATTTAAGTGCGGTGCTCGCTCGGCTCTAACGCAATTATTAGGCTATTCGTTCTTGCCGCTGGACTTTAACACCGTTGGAGAAAACAATATAGCTACTAGTTTTCAAATGTTTCAGAAGACCAAGTGATTCTACATCAGAAATTGATATCACCTGTTGTGTTCGTATGCTGTTTTTCCAAAAATTAATATAAAAAAGAGCAACATGATACTGTTCTGGTTTATAAATAACTAAATGACGTCAAGAAACATTTTCTTGTGGATTGTAAAGCATAAACAAAAAAATGACGTCTGGTCCCAACCATTAAGGAAAGTGGCGTATAACGATTTTTAATAAGGGTAATGCGCAAGCTAGCATGAAGCACGGTCCTACTTATAAAACCCCGAGATATTACATAGAAAAACGAAAAGGGGGATAACATGACGACGTCTCAAAACACGACTGTGTATGGAGAGGTCATTCTGTAGTCCCCAGTTCCTTTTCTTAGGTCCCAATTTTTTTTTAAATTAAAAGTATTCGTAGTATTCAGTTCAAACAAATCTCTTTGGTTATTATTGAAACCTCCAAGAACATAATTTACGATTTGTTAAGGCATACTTATGTTTCGAACTAAAGCTAAATATCGTTTTTTCTTAATTTTAGAGCTGATTCGTGTTGAGCTCACATATTACCTAATATACGGCACTAAAACAACATATTAAAGATCACTCTGCTAGGGAATGACTGATGCCTTTCGGGTTGATGCACCCCCTTTAAAGGTATCATAATTGACGATCTAATCATGAATACCTATTTTTCATATCAGGTGCACGTTCCCCAGCCATACAGCTTCGGCTACGACAACGTCGATGAGTTTGGCACCCGCATGACCCGCCAGGAAACGGGAGACGAGCACAACAACAAGGTCGGCTCCTATGGCTACGTGGACGCCCATGGCGTTGCCCGCACCGTCAACTACGTTGCCGACGCTCTCGGTTTCCGCGCTACCGTCGAGACCAACGAGCCAGGCACCAAGACATCCGCGCCAGCCGACGCCCCCATTTACTCCTCCTCTGTCGAGGTTGCAGCTCCTGCTGTGGTGAAGTCTGTTCACCCAGTCCCTGTTGTCGTCAAGGCTGTTCACCCAGCCCCAGTCGTTGTGAAGGCTGTCCACCCAGCCCCAGTCGCCTACACCCACAGGGTTTCCCCTCTTGCTTACAGCACTGTTGCTCACGCTCCTCTTGGCTACACCCTTGGCCACACCACTGTCGTATAAGTGTGAACATCTGATAATAAACAGATATCGATGAAATTTAAACTACACTTTGGCTTGGTATTGATATTCTTTTGGGGCATTGTTAAATGCCATCACTATACTTTTGTTGCTTTATTTTTACGTTTAATATTTCGTTCAAGACACCATTGGCCGGATGCATGATTCCTGCCTAGTATGTCACAGTACGCAATCACACACATCACAACTCTCGTATTTTTGTCTGCAGCTACTCTTTCATGGCAGTGAGTGCCTCATAAACATCTAACGGACTTAAAGCGAGCGAGATGGTTTTCCCCGAAAAATAAATTGTTTTTAGATTGTTTTTGTTTTGTGTGACAGTTTTAATAGCAGTGTAGTGTCACCCCTAGCATGTTCCGGCTTCATAGCTTTTTTCGGGTCCTCGTTGACTGTGGCAACCCTAAACAACGCTCATGGGGAATTTTTTTTACTGGTTTCTGGGCTTTCAGTAGCATACGCCAAGAAAATTAAGTAAATTCATTGCTGAAACTAAAAAAGAAACAAAGAAACTCACATCTTCATTCATCTTCTCTGCGTGTCGAATTGACCTACTAAGGTCACTTATAGAATATGCAGCTTTCACGCGATCATGTTGCAGCAACTATGCTCGCCCTGCAAACACAATAGTTGGTTTTGCCTGAATACTTCGATAAACGCTTCAATGCGACTTCGTATAACTGTTTCGTTCTAACGCTTTACTGCTCAAATACTACTTTGTTCTTTTCTATCTAATCGGGAGGTTAAGTTTGCTTTTGGATTTCTCATCGACGTTCGGTTTTTAGTCATGGCTAACTCTTGCACGCAATTCCCATTGTAATGTTTACTTGTGTACTTGTTTGACCTTGCTGTGTTGACCCACCTCCACTCTCCACCTCTGTGAAAAGGACCTGAGGCAATAAAATTGCTTAATAAACTTTATATCAGTTCGTGTACACCTGTTTTCTGACTTAATACCACGACACACGCATTCTCTGCCATTAACAGGTGTTTTATATTACACCGTACTATAAATCGGAATTAAGAGAGAGAGAGAAATAACTTTATTGAGAAGCTGGTGATCCTAGGCGTCGGCCAAGAGCCCTTGGGCTCTAGCAGCGTCTTCGGCCAGTTGGGTGGCCCAGTTTTGATCAGCTGGGTCGGAGCCGAGCAACACGGTCTCCCATTGCTCTACCTGCGTGATTCTGCGACCTTGTGCCGCCGCCTGTGGATAAGCCCATAGCATACGTGCTAGGTCCGACCTTTCTTTACGTTTGTGGCATTTGTCAGAATATTGCCCTGGGTAGCAGTAGCTATACGTAACCGGGTTTTGGTACGAATTCGTTTGAAGAAGTCGCCATACTACGGTTTGCCTCTTATTGAGTGATGGGTGAGCGGGTGGAAAGCGGGCCCCCCCTATTCGGTAATGATTTGTAATGTCCCTGTAGGACACGAGCCGATCCCTGCCCGACCATCGGAGCGAATGCGATGTCTGCTCGGTCGGTGAAGCCTCAAGCGGCATCGTGCGCGCATTCGTTCCCGGCCAGGCCGGCATGGGCAGGTGCCCATATCAGGTAGATCTTGCCGGTCCGTGCGTCGTTGCGGAAGCCAGATTTAAGGATTGCAGACGCCTCTGGTGAGATTCGTCCTCTCGCGTAATTTAGAATGGCAGACTTGGAGTCGCTCACTACGTATTTGATTTTCGTGGAGGCCGTCATTGCCAGGGCAATGGCCGCCTCTTCCCCACCTCCGCTTTGCTCGTGCGAAGCGAGCAGGAAGCGATGGAATTTCCCTGTCGATTGACTACCACGAAGGCAATGGCGTCGCGACTCGCGTAATCGGCCGCGTCCAGGTACACCACGTCCTCGGACTTTTCGAATTGTTTGTGAAGGGCTTTCGCCCTCGTCTGTCTTCGCCCTAGGTTGTGTACGGGGTGCATGTTTTTCGGTATAGGTGGAATGTGTATGCTCTCCCTTATTGCTGGAGGTAATGCGACTTTGTTTGGGGCAGTTCACGGATGGGCGATGCCGAGCGAGTCGAGGATGTACCTGCCAGTCGGGCTACAGGTTAGCCGTTCCCGTTGTGCTAAGCGTTGGGCTTCGATGAGTTCGCTGAGGGTGTTGTGGAGCCCGAGTTCCTCGAAGCGTTCGGTCGAGGCGGTGAGTGGGATCCCGAGGGCTTGTTCGTAAGCTCGCCTAATGAGGGCGTCGATTTTGTGTTCTTCGTCTTTTTTAAGGTGTAAGAACGGAGTGACGTATATTACCCTGCTTAGGACGAAAGCTTGGACTAATCTTACGAGATTGTGTTCCTTCATGCCGTGATGGCGGTTGGCAACGCGCGAGATGAGTCGGGTGGTTTGATTTACGCTCTTTTCAAGAGCGAGGACGGTTTCGGTGTTGTGTCTGTTTGCCTGTATGCGGAGGCCAAGAACCCGGATGCTTCTTAGTATGGGGATGTGTTGTGTCCCACCCGCGAAGAGTGCGAGATTCGGAGGGGTCGGATCTGTGCGCCGCCCCCGACTGGTCGGCCGGTAGAGGAAGCTCCGATTTTTGAGGAGCGCAGCTGAGACCGCGAGGGCCTATGTACTGTTCGACTGCTTCGATGGCCTGTTGTAGTGTGTCCTGAATATGATCGCCACTGCCTCCAGGGACCCAGAGCGTGACGTCGTCTGCGTAAAGGGTATGCTGAAGGCCTTCAATTTGATTTAAAATTTTGAGAAGAACAATCATGGCCACGTTGAAGAGTAAAGGGGGGAGGACCGAGCCTTGCGGCGTCCCCCTGCTCCCCAGCTCCATCGCGACCGACTGGAGTCCCCCTATCGAGAGGGTAGCTGTGCGGTCTGAGAGAAAATTACTGATGTAGTCGTACACCCGTCTTCCAAGACCACGTTTGCCCAGGTTCGCGAGGATAGCCGAGTGTTTGACGTTGTCAAAGGCCTTCGTGAGGTCGAGCCCCAAGATGGCTCTAGTATCCAGTGGGGAGCAGTGCGCCCCGTCTATGACGTCGTATCTGAGCCGAAGCATAACGTCTTGGGTAGAAAGTTTTGGTCGAAAGCCAATCATGGTGTGCGGAAAGAGACGTTTTTCTTCCATGTAGCTGTTGATCCTGTTGAGTATGACGTGTGCCATTAGCTTGCCCACACAGGACGTGAGGGAAATGGGTTTAAGATTTTCGAGCTGGAGCTTCCTGCCTGGTTTCGGTATCATAACTACCTTTGCCGTATTCCACCGGTCGGGTATTTGTCCCCGTTCTCAGCAGACGTTCATGTACCGGCTGAGAGCTTCAACTGAGTCGTTGTCCAGATTTTTGAGCATTTTGTTAGTGATGCCGTCTGGGCCTGGGGCGGAGCGAGTTCGTAGGGCCAAGATGGCCCCTCGAACTTCGCTTACCGTGATGGGTCGGTCAAGTAGGTCGTTGTCCTGTCCCTTGTAGGGAGGGAGGACCTCACGAGGGGAGTCCCCGATGTATCTATCTTTAATGGTCTTGATTAGCTCTGTGTCGGAGCCATTAAATTTGTGTAAAAGTATATTGAGGTTGTGTCTTTGTGTGGTTTTGCTGTTGTTGGGGTCGATGAGACAGCGGAGAATATTTTTGCGAGCCCTATTTCGTGTTTCATGCGCTCGCACGTGCTGTGCCAATTTTGACCCGTTAGTTGTGCGTAGTCTTCGATGTCACGATTGAGGATAGCGAGACGCCGCTTAAGGTTGCGATTTAGCTTTTGCGTCTGAAGTCTCTGATGCAGACTGTGCTTGGCTTCCCACATGTGGAGGAGCTTTGCATCGGCCTGATAGAGCTCTGCATCTTCAGGGATTTCTTTAGTAGCCTGCTTGGCATCCCTGCGAAGTTGTTCCACCCATTCCTGAATCTCAGCTATCTCCTCGATGGAAGGATTGCTCGCTATGTCAGAGGAGGCACGTTCAGCGGCCCGGATTTCGCGGAAGGTGTCCCAATCGATAAGGTGGAGTCGTTTACCGGATGTGCATTTAGCGATTCCAGATTCGACCCCGATAGCGACGAGATAGTGGTCGCTGCCTAGGTTTTCTTGAGTGTTGAGCCAACTGGCTTCTCTGTGCGTGTTTTTCGTTAATGTGAGGTCAGGAGTGGTGTCGCCGCTAACGCTGTTTCCAACGCGGTTGGGGTGTGTTGGGTCAGTGATCAATGTGAGGCCCTCCCTCTGCGCATCGAGCCAGAGGTTGCGCCCCTTGATCGTGTCCCGTTTATATCCCCACTCGGGGTGATGTGCATTAAAGTCACTGACGATGACCAAGGTTTTTCCCCGGGCAAGTTCAAGGGTTTTACGTAAAAGTTTGCCGAAATTGTGGGTGTTTCGGGGAGAGCTGTATACGTTTAGAATGAATGTGCTGTGCTGACACGTTGCGCACACTACAAGCATCAGGTGAACATACATTGAACGCGTACACAGGTATCGCACATACAAACATCAATACAACAGCACACTACCCCTATTACCACTCCCGAGCCCCGCATTTCCGTCTTTTATACTGGTCGTTTTGAACGTACGGAATTTTCCGGTGACTCCCTAAGCAATAAAAAATATTCCGAACATGTTTATTTTTTTCAGCAATGTCATACATCTGAGGCTATTTTTAATAGCTCAGGGGATGAATCTCTTATTAAAAAGAAAACGCTCGATCATGCCATAATTATCTGAAAGCCAATAAATCGAGCCGCTCCAATGTGGTTCCAAGCCATGAGTTTGTTTTCCCGCATGGCCCTTCGTAGTTAGTATTTATATTGTAGTGTTCGTTTTTCTATTTGTGCTGTTCGCGCATGGCTGCAATTGCCGTCTTGAATTAATCTTTGTAGAGCGGATATTCACTCAGCTGGAAGTGATGCTTCACGGGCAGAGAAATCGCTTTTCGATCAACTTGAATGCAGTCAAAGCCGCGACTTGCGACAACTGTGAAGTGTACGGAGCTACGCCGCTGCGAGCTCGAAAACTTCTAGCGCTCATCCCAGCGCGCCACTTAGAGGGCAGTTTCTACAGGAGCCGTAAAGGATAGCGATTTTTTTTTTTCTATTTTACC